GAGCAAAGCTTGCGAGCGAGTGTTTAATAAAAACGAGTGTCTAGAGAAGTTTATAAAAGAGTTTCATACTATAATTTATCTAAGACGAACACAAAGCAGATATAAAGCCAATTTTATTTGTTAAACATTTGACATCTGTCAACTTTTAACGGATTCAACCTCACTTTTCCCTAATTTATAATAAAGCTAACTTCATCCCGTGACTAAAATACCCAAAAGCCACTGTTGCTAACTTTAGCCCGTGACTCAAACGCCATAAAGTCACAGCTCGTCAATGTAGGAGTAAAGTATTATTATTATTATAATTATAATATTATTCATTCATTTATTTTTGTTTAGCATACATGAAGACACGATTGACAATTTTGTAATAAAAAAGAATACAATAAACTTAAAATACGTAAAGTAAATATGTATTTCCAGAACTAAAAGCAATTAATACAAATTTAAAACATTGTAAACAAAATAACATTAGTAGTCTTTTTTAAGAATTTTTAATTTTTTTGCAGGAAATTCGTATTTTTGGACCTGGCAACACTGCCATACTCTAGGTATTAACTAAGGGCCGGCCCTATACGTTTTATTAATAGTAGGGTAGTGTTTAAGTAAATGAAACTTGTCTACAAAAAAACTACACTGTTTTTTTAGATTTCCACGAGTAGACAGTGTGGTTATTACTTATGGAATAAAATTCGTTATTCAATTAGATTTTTTTTATGAAAAACGTTCAAGCACCAAGGTAAATTTTAGTTTTTTATTTAAAATCTTATAATTATAATTTTAAATTTTGTGCCCCCACCATTTTCCACCCGCCACATTATGCACATTTATTCTTAAATAACAACCCCCACTGTTTTTCAAAATTAATTGTGTACATTTTTCCGAGTACGAAGATACCCTATTTTAAATTAACAATTGTTTTGCTATCACAGTACTCGTTTAAAATGAATTAGTCAAAAATGACTAATTGTCATAGCGAAAGTATTTACGATATTTAATATATAATATATGTAACTTTTACGTTGATAATTCCCATTAATATATTTGTCTTATGGATACATTTATTATTAATAAAAAAAATATTTTCGATTATTTTTGGCGAACTTTTGAATTTTGTGAAACAATGTATTTTAAGGGAAAGATATGGAAAAGCTTATGTATAATAATATTACGATAATGCAGAGTAATAGTTATTTTATACCGTTTAGTGCAGGACTTTTCTGAAAATAAGATAGGCCTTTTTCAGACAACAACCGTGCGTTTCACGTGCGGATCAACAAGTAGGCGAGGTTTAGCAAACTTATTTCAGACTCCGAAACGCTAAAACAAAATTTAGTATTCGCACTGCTTCGCAACGGAACGCTACCGAGAATTTGAGCTCGAAAACAAAACGAGTTTAAAGAGTTTTCGTTTTAATAATTTGTGGGTTTAAGATTATAAAAAGTATGTAATTTGTTGTTAGATGCTTTCTTAGTTACTAGGGCTATAAATAATAAAATTATTGATAGATTTATTTAGTTTGAAGATAATGTATAAGAAGTGCATTGAAGCGCGTTATCGAAGTTCTTTTTGCTTGGATACAAATATTCTTTGGAACGTTACCTATATGAGAGTCGATATGCTCCAGTTAGTTGGAGTTTGTTCCAGTAAAACCAAATCTAATATTGTTCGAGTGGAAGGCAATACATTTTAATAGAAATCGACATAATTTAGACATTTATAAATAACCAGTTTAACGCGGATAAGTAGACGAAAAAAGTAACTCAATTCAATTAATTTGTTTTGAATTTTGTTAAATTTTAAAAAATTAGAAAATGTATTTAAAAAATTGTACACCAAAAAGTATTTTTTAGATTTTTAAATACATTGTCAAAAATGGCGAATGCACCGGGGTATTTTTTCCATTTTTAAGCAATATAAAAATAGTACAAGATTTTTTGTAAAATTAACATTTTGAATATACCAAAAATTGTCAAAACTAAAAAGCATAATAATATTTTAGAATGTCAAACACAAGTTTTGGAATGTTAAATGCTCATTTTAAAATGTAGAAATAAAGTGTGAACCATTTATTTGCCCCTAACCCCTGTTAAATCTTTATTTATTGTGCAATTTTAACCGGATTGGTTTTAAAGTGTAGATCTTGATAAACTGTATTTTTTGTAGCAAAACACTACATTTTTACAAAATACAATGCCTACTATGTCAGTTTTTGAGAATTCATATAAGCGATTAAAAAAAGACTATGCACAGCACTGGATTCACCACCCCTCAAAACCACCCTGTATAAAATTTTATTAAAACATTTTAAGTAGAAACGATTTTTTAGCCAAATTAAAAATTAACAATTTACAAAAATTTATTCTGTCAAGTTATCTATGAAAAAACCTTGTTGCTTTAAGTTTCTATTGCGTTTTTTATTGGTCAAAACTAAGCAATGTTTTTTTCATGGAATACTCGACCGAATAAATTTTTGTTTATAGTACCTAATTATTGTGCATTTTTAATTTAGCTAAAAAATCGTTCTTATTCAAAATTATTCAATAAAATTTAGTATAGGGTTGTTTTGAGGGGTGGTGAATCTAGTGCCCTGCAGTTTCAATCTTAAAAATTTACTCTCGAAAACTGACATAGATGTGAAATATGGTATTTTTTACTGCAGAAATACATTTTGTCAAGAACTACACTTAAACAAATCCGGTTAAAATCGCACAATAAATAAAGATTTTACAGGGGTGAGTCGCAAACAATTGGGTCACACTTTAAGTATTTAAATGTATTTTTAAATCAGAAAATACGAAAGTAAAGTTTTACATTACGTAATTTGTTTTATACTTTAAAAACGCCCATTATCTTACATGTTTCTATGACACTAAGTGTTTTTTTTTTAAATTGACAAGCTATGACCATTGAGTAAAATGCTATGACCTTATGGCCTTTTAGCAACATGTGGAAATTATTTTATTATATAAATACAAAAATAAATAGTTACTTAACGCCACTGACCTGATGAATTCTACGGCAGTAAACTAGTATTTGGCGAAATTTTGGGTAAAGTACCCATAAAACATCCTTTTCATTTTCGTAAGTAATATCATAAGGGCATTTAATTTTTTCGAAAAGAATCGAAAAAACACGTTGCTAAGTGATATTTTAACAAAAAGCATGAGTGCTGGTGGCAACAAAAATCCGAGTCGAAGAGGAGGATTTTTGCACCTGCACGAATGCTTTTGGTTAAAAAATATTACTTAGCATTGTGTTTTTTCGATTTTTTTCACAGGAAAAATAAGATGCCCGAATGGTATTTGACAAGACTATTTCATGAGTAACAGTTAACAATTAAAATATAAATTGCAATTTTTGGTGACAACAGCTGTCAAGTTTTGCCGCGGGTAAACTCGAAAAAACTGCTGACAGGTGCTGTCACACAGTTTTTTCACCTAGAAACCATTTGTAATTTAAAATTGCGCGTTTGTGATTGGTGGAAATAGGACGAGGGAAATAGTCACTGTAAAAAACTGCTTCTACAAGGTGTCCCTAAACTTATTGGCATAAATTTAGGAAAAGATTGAGCAAGTCAAAATAAGACGAAAACGTAAATAAATATTTTTCCTAATTACTTATGTTTCCAAGATACAGGGTGATAAAGTGTTATCATATCAGTTTTTTTAATATAACTTCTACTATGGTAGTCTTGGAAAGGTGATATCTTGCGAACAGTCACTTACTACCAAAACACATATTCACTTTATCACCCTGTATCTTTTAAACATACGTAATTAGGAAAAATATTTATTTAGATTTTCGTCTTATTTTGACTTGCTTAATCTGCTTCTAAATTTATGCCACCAAGTTTAGGGACACCTTGTATATCGAATTAAAACGGTTGTTAGTGCATTTTCAAGGGATAAATTTTAAATTTTACCGACAAATTTGACAAACTAACAAGGCCATTTTGAAAGCTGGTAAAACAGATTTTTAACACCAATTTGGTTACTTTAACTTTGTATATATATCGCTCCAGAAAAATAAGCTACTTTATTTTGAACCAAAATGTATTTTTAAACAATGCGTTAATATTTTAAATATCACTTAAGGGTTATTTAAAGTTATGGTATTTTTTTAAATTTCAAAATAAGTTTTCAAAAAATATAGTACATTAAATAATCGTTAAGAAGTTTTGCATTCGCTGAGCCAACAAAAAAAATTCTGTCCAAAAGTACCTGCTGAAATCTAAAAATTAAAAATGAAGTATTTTCTTTAAATATTACCTCAACATTTTGTAAAATCCAAAATGTAATATTTAATATTATCCAATTAATGCTAATATTAATGCATGCATTGATGCTATATTTAAGTTTTTTTTAATTGGTAATTTAATTTAAAAACATTGTTTCCCCATAAATAAATTTTCCATCAAACAAAGAAGCAAACTGATTTTTATTTTTGTAAAAAACTCCAACTGAGTTTTATCCATTATTTAACGCGCAAACAAAAAATGAAATGTACTTACCCAAATTTAGTTTACGGATAAGGTAATTTAAAAAACTGAAGAATTCCTTAAGTAAATAATTTTATTTAATAAATTCATCATAGAAACATTATTAACGCTGCAAAATGTTTCATTTTATTTATTAATTTATTTAAATTGTACTAAGTGTTTGGTCCTAAACTATTTAAAAATCTGGAAAATACATGAAACTAAAAATATACTAGCACCTATGTTATAAATTATGTAAAACTATCTATTACTAAATCCTACACAAATATTAGGAACCTTACGAGACTAAAATGTAGTTTCCAGAAGTTTAAAAATTAAATGTGAAGCAAAGAACTTTTGTTAGGTATATTTTTACTTGTTGAAGTGAAAAAATGTCAAACAAAAGTCCAAAATTATACACACAAGTTATAGTACACCGTACTCAAATCACAATTGTCTTAAACTATTTTTTATATAATATTTACAATTGGCACCTATTTACTTTTTATTTATTTTATACAATTTTTTGAATAAACATATTGTATTAATTGAAGAAACATGTACTACAAACAGTTAAAAATATTAGTAGAAATTTCACAAACGCCAGTTTATATTAGAGTTTTTATTTTTAATATTTTATGGACAATAATAAACCTTATGTAACTCATGTAAATTAATGCTTAAATAGGTAAACATAAAATTGCTGAAAAGACATACCTACTATTTTTATAAGAGTACATAAAAATACTGATCATATAACTTTTTTAATAAATGGTCAAAATCGAAAAAAAAATATTTGATTAAAGTCAGAGATCACTTATTCTAACCGTCTTTCTACATAACCTAGTATCACTGTGCCGGATAAAAACAAAAAATCACTATTTAGTCTATTTACAACAAATTTCGGTCGTCAAAGGCACATACCGGGATTCTGTTTGCACCATCCGGGCCAAAGGGCTTCAGCCGCTATCCCCTTACTCACCAGTCGGTCTCGTTGCGTGTTAAGCCGCGTATACACGTCCTCGAGGATCGTGTACGTGCTCATGTCGAGCTGAGGGTCGGTCCAAACGCGTTCGGCGAACGCGGCCGCTCGCGGCCACAGCCGAGGATCTAGAGAGCCTTCTTCCAGTTGTTCGCTCCATAGGCAGACTTCGCCGCCCATGACTTGTTTTTTGTTGAGATGGAGTTGCTGCCACGGCCTGTGATTGTAGACCTGCAATAAAAGACGAAACAAATTTTTAGTTTTTTATCTACTCCTACATTGACGAGCTGTGACTTAATGGCATTTTTGTCACGGGCTAAAGTTGGCTTTATTATAAATTTTGAAAAAGTGAGGTTAGATTCGTCGGATGTCAAATATTTAATACTTAAAATTGGCTTTAAATTTTTTTATGTTCTTATACAGGGTGTTTCTTTTAACTTGAGACAGCTCAATATCTCGAGAAATACGCATTTCACGGAAAAATGTCTTAAATAAAAGGTTAATGTGACTAAAGGGGACATTATTTGGTGCTACCGCTAGCCACCCCCTACCTCTCCTTAAGGGTGAAACGGGGGGTAACTTTGGAAAGTCAAATGGAATGACCCGATTTTTTTCACAGAGTTTGGTAGCACATAAAAAATAAATAACTTTTATTTAAAACTTTTTTCAATTTATCAACAGATGGCGCTGTAATTCAAAATTTAAGAAAAATGAGTTTCCTTGTAAAATGTATTATTTGAAACGTTTGAAAAACAAAAATTAACATTAACAACAATAGTCGGTTATGAAAACAATTTATAACAAATGTTCAAAATGTCGTCATTCCATTTCAACACATTTTTGAATGCGGGTAATGAATTCTGGCACACAACGCGCCAACATATCGGGCGGTATCGCCGCACAGGCGTTCCTGATCCGCTCCACCATGTCCTCCCAAGTTGTAGGAATTGCAGCGTAAACTTTTTCTTTCAAGTAACCCCACTGGAAGAAGTCTGGTGGCGCAAGATCAGGTGATCGAGCAGGCCAAATTACTGGACCACGTCTACCGATCCACCGCGGTGCACCGGCCATTGAACTCCCGATCCAACACCTCTCGAGCAATTGTCGAATAATGTGCAGGACAACCATCTTGCTGGTACCACATATTTTGGAGCCGTGCTAGTGGTACATCCTCCAAAAGGTCCGTCAGATCGTTTTCTAGAAAATTCCGGTACTTTTCGCCATTTAATGCACCGTCAATAAAGAAGGGTCCGATTAATCGTTCGCTTAAGATACCGCACCAAACGTTTACCGACCAGGGACGCTGGTGCTCCACTTGGTGTCGAAATGGAAGGACGACATTTCGAACATTTGTTATAAATTGTTTTCAGAGCCGACTATTGCTGATTTAATGTTAATTTTTGTTTTTCAAACGTTTCAAATAATACATTTTACAAGGAAACCCCTTTTTCTTAAATTTTGAATTACAGCGCCATCTGTTGATAAAGTAAAAAAAACTTTCAAATAAAAGTTATTCATTTTTTTATGTACTACCAAACTCTGTGAAAAAAATCGGGTCATTCCATTTGACTTTCCAAAGTTACCCCCCGTTTCACCCTTAAGGAGGGGTAGGGGGTGGCTAGCGGTAGCACCAAATAATGTCCCCTTTGGTCACATTAACCTTTTATTTAAGACATTTTTTCGTGAAATGCGTATTTCTCGAGATATTGAGCTGTCTCAAGTTAAAAGAAACACCCTGTATAATAGTATATTAAAGTACTAATGTAATAAGACGGCATTTTGTAGCACAATTTAAAATTTTGTAATGGACGTGTGCGACAAAAGGTCTTATGACATGAGTTCTTTATGCTATTTTATCTATTTTGCAAAAATTCTATAAAAGAAATTAATTTTATACCTTAAATTTAATTTGATCGAATTTTACTTTAGATAGTTGGTATCACAGTCATTGGTTTGACAGTTAATGTTAAAATCTATTCGCCATGCCGCACAGTGGTCTGAGAGGTAAATTTACGCGGAAAAAAATGATTCTTTAAATATTTTTCCCAAGACGTGTGTTTTTTTATTTTTTTAAGGATGCTAAATTTACTTCTGATATAAATTTTTTTTCAAAAATATTTGGTATTAAGGGGGCTAAGTCTAGCCAAATGATATAAAATGAAATTTTTTAATAGTTGTGTATTCTTGTTTTTTTTATGTTTTATATTTAATAATTTATTTATTAAATAAATAAATGTTTATAGTTACCAGGGGGCGATCGCCAATGTTGGCTATTGAAACATGTCGCAAGCATAATTTTTTATCATGAAAAACCGAAAAACCATTACCTTCAAAGTATTAAAAATATATTATTATATCAACATTTTACATTTCACCATATTTCTTTTTAACAACCCTTTAGCCAACATCGTGATGGTTGACAATAGGAAAACTTATTATTTTTATTATAAAATAAAAAAAAACAGCAAAGTTCTTCAAGAGGGCAGTACAATTGTTCTATAGGAATCTCATTTTTAAAATAAGCAAGAGTATAAAGCGTTAAATACTCTTGCTTATTTTAAAAATGAGATTCCTATAGAACAATTGTTTTTTTATTTTCTGAGCACCCTGGACATTTAATTAAAAAAATTGTCAGGAATCTCATTTTTGAAAACAACCAAAAGTTTTTATGAAGAATGATTTTTTGCAATTCCGTTACGAATATCTTACCACATTTCTCTCTTATTTTGATATATAATTTTTTTAAATTTCTGAGCACCCTGTTTATGTAAGTCTTAATTTTAAACATCAAATATTTTCAAAAAGAATTCAATTTTTCATAAAACGCACTTCTAGTTTTTTGTGTTTTTTTAGTTTCTGAGCACCCTTTACATTTAATTCAAAATGTTTGTGTAGGAATCTTATTTTTGAAACAAGCAAGAGTTTTTAAAAAACATTTTTTTTTCGTATCATACCTAATAAAAAAGATTTTTTATATTGTCAATATGATCCGTGGGCACACTGTATAATATACAAAGTATATTAAAAAAATAGTATTATGTAACAGGAGTAAACAAAATAGTATTACCATTCTTAAATGCAATAATTATTGTCAAATTTAAAAAATATATTACTTTTATGACCAGGTTAGCGGTAATTTGTCGGTCATTTTTCATTTTTGCATAACTCTCTTATAGGCGCCTAATGGCAGATGAATTTTTATAAAGTCGGAGCTGGAGGTTCATATTTTCGAATGCACTATGTGGTTCTGGGCAGGTAATTATAAAATTTTACTTACATTCCATTTAATATTTGTAATTACAAAACTAGGTTAAAAAACGCTATATTTTTGACAAAAAATCCAAAAAAGACATTTTTAAGTTGTATTTGTACTCAACTTTATCCCTACTATAAATTTTTGACACCAATTTTCACTATTATATTTACGCAACACCTTTTTTACACGAAAAAGACAAGATTCCGAAAGTACCTATGAGTGTTTTTGACAATTCTTTCATGTATTTGTTATAACGCAATGCATACGCAGCGAATTCTACTTCGCAGTTTAAATCGCAGGTAATAATCTGTCACGAACAATAAAGAGGCATCAAAATGAGTTTTTAAAGGTTTTAAAAATTGAATTTTTGCCGCGTAAATTTGCCTCTCAGACCACTGTGTGCCGTCTTTAAATTACTTATTTACAATAAGCGGATAATAATGTTAAAAAAGAAAAAAAAAAACAATTTTCTTTGGTGTTAAACAAAATTTATTGCCAGAAAAGTCTCGTAAGTAGGAAAAATTATAAAAATATTATTATCAATATGCAAAATATTATGCTGCTTAAAGTATAGCCAACCTATAAAATCAAAATTTTGGATGGGATAAAGTATCTCATTACAGCATCGAAAGCGGTGTTATAATGAAGTCATTATGAACGCAAAATAGATAAAGTATAGTATGCAATTCGTTTTGAAACCTTCTTTAGGCACCCGTTTTTATTAAACACTCGCTCGCAAGATTCGCTTGTTCTTAATAAAACTCGTAACTAAAAAGGCGTTTATAAAACTTGATACATAATATAATATTAAATTGTTAAATGGTTTTGCATTTTTAAATTTAAGTGTAGCTGTTATTTTACTTACAAATCCGTTGCCAATATGTCTAAAAATAACTAATAGAATCTTCTTTATGTTTTGTTTATGCATTTTACTAATATATTCAAAAATATATCTTTGCAGGATAAATAAATAGGCACTTAAAAATGTTTACTAATTTGAACGGTTTACATTGAAAATTCTCATATTTATTCATGGAAATGTATTAAATAAAGATAAATTTATTACTAAAATATCATTTCTAAAGAAAATAATAAATTCTTAGAAATTCATTAATAAATAATTAAAAGTATAAATATTTTAAAATATGCATAAATAATTTATTTTATCTCCCCTAAAAGCACACTTTATTCTAAGAATGTTTTATAAACCTTCCAGTGGGAATATTCTTAGGATCATGCTTTATTTTTTCTAGGCATGTTCTAAGAATGTTTTTTAAACTTTCCAGTAGGAATTTCTTAGGATCATGCTATATTTATTTTAAAGAACATGCCTAAAAGAAATATAGCATGATCCTAAGAATATTCTTACTGGCGTTTAGGCAGGTTCTTAGAAGGTGCAAAGTTTTAGTGGTAAAAATAAGACTACTTTAAAACATATGCTTAAGCGTTAACCCAGATAGCACAATATTTCCTGAGGACATCCGGTTTAAATCCTTTACAGACGGTCGCGACCAGAAAACCGATGGACGTCCTGAGGCCTAGGCCTATGGACGTCCTAAGGCCTAGGCCGATGGACATCCTGAGTACGTCCATCGGTTTTTTGCCTGCGACAATAGTTGAAGATACAAGTTGATATATCACCCTTTATAAAGGCCTTTATAAAAGGTGATATATCAATTTGTATCTTCAACTATTGTCGCAGGCAAAAAACCGATGGACGTACTCAGGATGTCCATCGGCCTAGGCCTTAGGACGTCCATAGGCCTAGGCCTCAGGACGTCCATCGGTTTTCTGGTCGCGACCCGGGTCTAAGTGAAAAAAAATTACACCATGTTTTTTATTAAAAATACTCCTTAATCAAGCACGATAAAAGATTTTAAAAAAAAGTTGTCAATTTTTTTTCACTTATATGTCTATAGATAGACCCTTTATCCACTTAAGTGGAATTGTGTCTTTAGTTGTCAAGTATTTTTAG